TGCGAAGATGCAGAGCAGTTTTGCGAAGATCTCAATGATTTTCTTTTGGAAAACTACTTATGGATGCAAGAAAATATTGCCAATTATCCAGAAGATCGATACTGGATTCAGGTCAGTAGACATTGCGCTAAAGGATCTTTTGATTTTTCAACATATCATTATCGCCCATCACCCGGTGGTACGTTCCGCTGCAAGCATACGGCTGGAAAGCGTAGGTCGCTGAAGAGAAAATGTTTTCCGTTTATTGCGGGATGTCTTACCAGTTGTAAGTCATGGAATTGATACCTTAAGTAAAGGTGGGGCGTTTGGTGTTAATATAACCAAGTAAGAGCGGTATTTTTATATGCATACTGGTTGATGAATAATAGTTACGATTCCAAGCGTTACATTAACAGCTTCTAATACCATTGACCAGAGTGTCACAGTAGGAAACTGGGCAGTTGAAGGTATCCCAAGCGATTCACCTATAGTAGTAATCTAATTATTCTTTTTACTTTATTATACCACTGTACTATCTTGACAAGCCGATCCCGAATAACAAATATGGTCATCTGCAGGTGAATCTAACTTTGAATCAAGTAATAGGAATGATCGACGGTTATGATGGAAAGGTTGGTCGAAGACTATCAGCGAAGGAAATAGTGGCGCATCCTGTTTAGTGGGTTTTTGTTTTTTATCTATCATCGATGGTCTTTTTTTTGGATTTGAAATTTGTCTAGAAAAGAATCGAAATTCCGAAAGAGTGACCAATTTCAGTCTGCTTCAACTGGTTGGTGATATGGAGGATTTGGCGACAAAATTCAAAAAACCGGAAACACCGCGCAGCCTTCTGGCAGGAACTGGACACTGTTCAGCCCTGATAAAGGTGCAAATTCCGGAATTTTTTTTTTCGAAAAATTCTCTCTACGCATATGACCTCGTATAAGTCTAGCCCTCATCTACAACTTTAGAATTTTCAAATCAATTCGGGGACGGAAAACAAGCACTAACCTTTGTTCTATACATTGTAAAGGTTTGTACCACTATATGGGCGTAGGTGTGTACAGCTGTTCTCCTTGCGTGGTGTCCAACTATAAAGTTTAGAGAGAAGATTAAGTTAATGTCTAGAGGATATAGTTTACCAGATGCTGTGCAATTTCTTTCCTTATGGCATCCTGGATTCGTTCAGTTGCTTCCCGACTTGTCCGACATCTATTTCTCCCACGTCACTTGGGAATCATATTCTACCATGCTTCGCGCCCAGAAGAAATATACGTTTTCCACAAATGATCCTGGTAGAAGCTATTCTTTCAGCGGATATCCAGGTGAGTTTAAACCACAATGTACTATGGTGCTCTTTCGAAGACTAATCTGGCCTGAAACCTCATTCACTTGTGACAGGCTTACCACTTAAAGTCGTTTCGTTTTTCAGTCAAGATTTCCAATGAGAATCAACTGTATACGTTGTTACAAATTCTGCCGTTCGAGGTTTATAGATGGAACACTTCATTAAATAAACGACCTAACGTTTCGACGTAATCGTCATGTATAGTGTTTGACTCTCTCGCGAAAACAAAAACAACCGAAACTCATCGGAAAACTACCTACTTTATAAAATTCCTGCCAGGTTTCACCGTCAAAGAAGATAGAATCTACTGTCGCCGGCGACTGTCAGTAGCGAATGAGACTTCGTGATGTTTCTTTATACTGGTGAGGGAGATTACATTACGATGCTACTGATCACGCGTCATAGCTCACAGAGTGGTAGGTATGGCAAGAGGTTACTGGTTATAGATGAACACACACATCTTTGTTGTTCATCTTGGGATTCCTTTGCAGAATCCAGAACGCCTCTACTGCCTTTCTTACTAAAATTTCCGTCTCCTGCCCTAGTATCGTGCACTTCATTTCAAAATTGTCGCCGTTGTGTTCCTCGATTTTATGTAGATCGAACGCTGTCAAGAGGTTTCCGTGCTTCATAATTGTTAGACGTTCTTTTACCCGTGTAGCTAGTTGTCGTCCTGTCTGTGGCGACAGTGGATTCTATCCCCTTTGACGGCGGAGCCTGATGATTTCATAAAAAGGGTAATTTTCCGATGAGTTCCGGATGTTTTTTTGCGAGAGAGTCAAACACTACCGGATAATATAAATCGTTTCGCATTATGTCTAGACTCTGAAAACAACGATTACGTCGAAACGTTAGGCCGTTTACTTGATTATGTGTTCCACCTGAAAATCTCGAATGGCAGAAGATTGTTTAACAACGTAAGCGACAATGCCGAGGTTAAAACAAGAGAGAAGTTGGAGACTAGTCAACAGTAGAGGCAAATTTAAATTGGTTCAAAACAAGGTGATGTTTCAGGTGTCATAACATCCAATGATGATTTTGTTTTGACGTCGGCTCGTCTCGCAATTCTGGAGACGACTATTGGTAATAATAACGATAGGCTTCTACGATATATAACACCAAAGACTCTAATGTGCTGGATTAGAACGCAGGTAAAGCCTTTTTATGCCTCGAAACATAATACCTTAAGATTACGTAAATTTCGATACCATCTGCACGGCCATGCTACGACATCCATAACGCGCATATTGCGATGTACTTCAAAATAAGTAATCTGACCAACAATAAAATAACTAAACAGCTAGGGACCAGGTACTTTATCTATATCATCTATCGTTGACCATTCCGTTGACCAGTCCTTGGGCGGCTGCCACCAACTGCTCCAATTGTCCCAGATGTGGTGCAGTTTTACTGGTCGAGATCTGCTTCTTATGTGAGAAGCCTGGTTAAATATGTATGTAACAAGCTGTGATAAGCCCTTCCAGCGCCTCGCTAAGCGATCTTCAGTAAAGGTGTTTTTCTCATTCTAAAGCCCCTTTTCGAATTACACATTGAGAGATCCTCCAGTTTTTTACCCATAGCATGTGGGTGTTAATAGCGAGGGTTATATCATAGATCGGTCGACAGCTATTCAACCGTTCCTTTCATCTTTTTGGGTACAATTGGACTAGGTAACTGTCTCTAACGTTCCCGCTGCCTATTCCCTTTCGTCCCTGCGGTTCAGTGTGGACTAGTGAAACCTTTCCGTTCATTCAGGTACTAAGCAATCGCTACAGGTTTTTAACTGACAATTTTCCCAGGTTGCTCATCGTACTTCATCGACTGGCCTTCAATGGGCGAAGACGTTCTCAAAGTTTAACTCTGGCACATATAACAATCAGTGGAACATTTTGGACTACAAGTTGTTCAAAAGAGGACGTTTCGACCAGCCGTCGTCTGGTCTCCTTCATGTTCTCGAACAAATACCGTACTGAAAATTTTCCCAATATTTTGTTACCATTTTGAGAGCGAAATAGTCTTTGTCTTCAGGAACCACACTGCTCACGCTGATCTTACTCATGTGCTGTTACGGAATACCTACTGGCCAAGTTACAACACCCCGTGAGTCATTATTCCTTGCATCTGAACTTCTGCATATGTTCTAAAAGCTTGACAAACCACCAACTGACTGACATGACAACTGAAAACATTCTAAAAATGTGAAATTGTGTTCTAAATTTTATTTGCCTTGCTAGGCTAGGAGTACTGAATTTTTCCCTGCGCAATTCTATTATATCATGGATGTAGATACGTTGCTGTTGTTGTTATTACAACCACTTTGGGAAGTTGTGCGCACAGTTTCTCATGAATTTTCCCTGACGAGTATTCCGGAGCCAGTGCCCACAGTGCTTTTTTGAGCGTATATTTCCTCGCTATTTCCAGCTATTCCGTATTACCATCTCCGAGTTTATAGCCATAAACGTTAACTAACCTAAACTGGTGCTCCAACAGCTTTACTCTAACCTGAAAATTTCGATAATCTGATTGCCACCGTTCCTACTGAAGTAATATCACAATATAGTACATTGATCGAAAAGTTTCGTTTATAGGTTCATATATTTTGACTCATTAAAAATTTTTGTTGAACATAATTCTTATTTATTCCAGCTACTTCCCGAAAATCTTCAAATGGGCTGACAACGATAAACTGGTGAAGAAGTATGGTGATTGGTACACGTGAGTAATCATGTAATTACTTAAATTTATTCCAGAATAGCTTTGTACGATGTGTTAATGCCTAGGCGACCAGTGAAGAACTTATCAGCATGGAAATGTAGTATCTGATAGCTGGGCTTGAAGGACTTATACTGAAAATCCAT